GCCTTCTAGAGTTCTAGTTCTAGTAGAAGTCTAAAAGTAGAAGACTATTAGGAATTAGGAAACTACTCAAACTAGGAAGTAGGAACTACCAAACTAGTAGAATACTAGTTCGATTCGGGTCGGGTTGGTTTCGGTTTTCTCGCAAGAAAACCGAAATCGACCCGAGATTTCGGTTTATGTATGTGCCCAACCCGAAACTGATCGGAACGGATGAAAACCCGGCCGACTCGGTTTGGGTCGGTCCGGGTTGGTCGGGTTGGGCATTCTTATGAACAGCCCTACTAGAGGGTCTTCGACTAGCAAAATCTTTCATCTTGGACCTGATTATCATAGAAAGTGATGCTAAACTTGCTATTCAAGTTCTCTCTTTGGATTTGGAACCCCCTTGGAGTTCGCATCTAGTTGCCTTGGATTGTAAAACCATCTCAAAATCCTTCTCATCCTGTACTTGCTATTGCACTCCACGGTCCTATGATAGAGCAGCCCATGGGCTTGCCCAATTTGCTCTAAGACAAAACCGATCGTTTACTTGGTCCTCTATTTCAGATTGTATCCGATATATTATTTTGAATGAGATGTAACCTCCAAGTTGAAAATTAAATAAAGCTCTTGCCCTATTGTCACAAGTGACCATTTTGCCGTGCCTTCAAGTGCCATCATCACGCCCACAACATGCCATCCGAGTGTCCGAGTGTGTGTCTTGGGTGGGACATTGCATTTATTTTGTATGGGGGGATTGTCAATGGCATTTCTGTAATTACCTAGTATGTTTTTTCATCATTTTGATGTATCTTTATGTCACTCCCCCAAAAGCTTAACGTACTCTTTGAGTGGAGGTAGGTAGTCGAGTGAGTCATGAGCATGTAAAGGTTAAGCATGAGATCCCCTCGACTTGCCATTCATTAATGCAGTACAAGTAGCATTTTTCTAATTCGTGTGCCATCTTTGTTGCCTTTTTTTGTATTGTTGCTTGTTACTTAGGCTTATTCATCGCATTCGAGTGCCGCACGGGGTCCCAACGACTAGCCCCATGACAGTTGGTATCAGAGTAGGAGCTCCTACACACACTCTAGACCCTATCTTCGTTCTTGTGTCAACACAATGAAGAGCAACCGTGGCATTGCCGATGACACACCACATGGGCGGCTCCAAGCCCACGACATTGATAAAGCTCCACTTGACGAACCTACCAAGACACAAGCCCCAAAGGGCCGCACAACTAAAGCTAGCAAGTGTGACGAATCAGTCGACCAACTAGCTAGCATGGACATGCACCTCCTATGTTGCGAGGTGACAGTGGGAAAAACCCGAGATCGGGTCGATGAACTCCACCTCAACCTAGAGACTGTTGAGATTGCAGTGGTGGAACTAGAAGGACATTTCAATGGCACCTTTAGAGACATGCACACCACCATACAAAATTCGGGAGCTGGGCCTTCCCAAAGTAGCCTACAGGGCTTGCTAGACAGATTTCAAGCGCAATTGGATGAGATGACTCTCCTAAAGAGGGCGGTGGCCAACGCTCCTAGCACTCCCTCCACCCTAGCTTCCAAGAACATCAAGATCCGTGATCCAACACCTTACTCGGGTGCTCGGGATGCTAGGGAGCTTGACAACTTCTTGTGGCAATTGGAGCAATATTTCTCCGCCACTGGCATCATTGACAACCAAACTCAAGTACGTACAACTGCTATGTATTTGACTGATATCGCAATGTTATGGTGGCGTAGGTGTTGCCAAGACATTGAACGTGGAACCCGCACCATTGACACCTGGGTTGGATTCAAGCTGAGATCAAGCATCAGTTCTACCCAGAAAATGTAGAGTACATGGCGTGCCGAAGAATGAAGAATCTCAGATATCAAAAATCACTACATGACTATGTCAAGAGTTTTCGGCCTCGACGCTGGAAATCTCCGACATGTCAGACAAGGATCTCCTATTCAATTTCATGGATGGTCTCAAGCCATGGGCCAAGCTCGAACTCTAGCGATGCGGGGTTGAGGACCTCGCCACCGCCATGGCCGTAGCTGAGCAGCTTGTTGATCTGAGAACACCTAAGGAAGATGCGCAAAAACCATCCAGCCCACGTACCATGAGTTTGAGTGGGGGAGATCAACAATCAACCTCTACAAAGGAGAAGTAGTGCCTGCGGACAAGCCCTACAATTACCAACAAGGGAAGCCGACCCAAGCCTTGGTGGACACTTGGGCCACCCACAACTTCATTTCGCTTGCGGAGGCAAAGCGACTCGGCTTGACCACCACCAAACAAACAGGGTGAGTCAAGGCTGTCAACTCCGGGGCCAAAGCAGTAGAGGGCATGGCTCGTGGAGTAGAACTCCGAGTTGGACCATGGAAAGGACCCATCAATCTATCTGTGGTACCCTTGGATGATTTTCAGGTTGTTCTTGGAGTGGAGTTCCTCACGCAGGCGGAAGCAACACTTATGCCACACATCAGCTTCTTACTTATTTTGGACGAACACTCAGCCTGCAAGGTTCTTGTCTCATCAGCCTTGTAGATACTTGGGAAGCAGCTTTTAGCCTTGCAGTTGTACCAAGAAACCAGCAACCATGAAGACAGCGCTGCGTCAACAAGGAAGAACCCCTGTCAAGCATCTCACATCGACACTGGAACTGGTTGAGAAGTCGTCACCAGGAAGAAGTCTCCCCCAAAACAGTTCCATTTCCAGCACCAACACCAATGCCAACGCTCAAGTTAGCACCAACATCAGCATCAACATCAACTTCAACACCAACCACATTAGCGGAAGTCGACTTCGCAGCAGAAGTCGCAAGCGCCTGCAATTGATGGGCCCAACAGAAGACCCAAGGCCGTGTCAAACCTTGCCCACATCTACTACCACAACCACCAGGGAGAGCGAGTGCCACCCAAGCCATCTAGGGACCGCATTCACATCATCCCTCATGCTAAATCCTGTAGTAGCCCTATGAGTCACCCTTGAGGAAAAATGCATGAGAACCAATACCCTAACTATCCAAAATATCATTTTGACCCAGCCTTGGCCACCAATTTTCCTACCACCATCGGGGAACATCCAAAATCCTACCTTGAAGCAGCCAGGCATGGACTTAACTTAGGGACTAGCCATAGGTTTTCCCACCATCAAGAACATCCACTAGCCATCTACCCAACCTCCTATCCGGGGCCTTGGAAGAAACCCTGTTCATGGAGCAGTCGAAGAACCTTCCTTCACCAACAAGAAGTTCAAGCCTCAAACAGAAGCTCATCTTTGAGGACGAAGACGGAATTGAGTGGGGGAGAATGTCACAAGTGACCATTTTGCCACGCCTTCAAGTGCCATCATCACACCCACAGCATGCCATCTGAGTGTTCGAGTGTGTGTCTTGGGTGGGACATTGCATGTATTTTGTATGGGGGGATTGCCAATGGCAATTCTGTAATTACCTAGTATGATTTTTCATACTTTTGATGTATCTTTATGTCATTCCCCCAAAAGCTTAACGTATTCTTTGAGGGGAGGTAGGTAGTCGAGTGAGTCATGAGCATGTAAAGGTTAAGCATGAGATTCCCTCAACATTGAACTGTGTGCTTATGCTTGCCATTCATTAATGCAATACAAGTATCATTTTTCTAATTCGTGTGACATCTTTGTTGCCTTTTATTGTGTTGTTGCTTGTTGCTTAGACTTACTCGTTGCATTCGAGTGCCGCACGGGGTCCCAACGACTAGCCCCGTGACACTATGGCTTAAAAAAAAAAATCTTAAACCTTTCATTATAATAGGCACAATGTCGCTAATCTCTCTACTATTGGAAGTAGCATTTCTTCCTTTCAAATTGATCAGCGAAAGGTGAACCCCATCGAAGGAAATGATAATAACGGTATCGTGCGTATAACCCTAGAATTAAAGACAGAAGGCCATGTGGCCATGTGCATCCTACTCACTCGGAGGCCATTAACTGTTTCAAGCCTTATCAACCCCTGGTTTTTCTGCTATATGTGCCATGTCCCCCCCACCCTCTCTCTCTCTCTTCATGTGCTTTTGTGTCTCGAAGTGTCAAGAATCAAGCGTCAGTGTTGGTTTGATATCGTTTGTTTAGTCTACTTTTGATTCGACAAAGAAACGACAGCCAAGCCTTCTTCGACCGTATCTTTTCAGTACTCAGCATCAGCAGTAACTTCTGCTGCCTTTCTCTCTCTCTCTCTCTGGCACATGCACACTAACACTGCACAAAAGTAGGTTGTGTTCTGCTTCTCTTACCGTGCTACCGAAAGATCTCTACTCTTATGTTTATATTCTGCTGTTTTCTATTTTTCCTTCAACTGTGTTTTACTGTACCAGATTCATCGATCTTAAAACAGTACTGTAGCTGCTAGTATTGTTCACTTTTACGTTACTTCTAGTAAGTAACTTGCTTTCTTACATCCCATGAAACTTCTTCAACGAGAAAATGAAACTGAAAAAACAGAAGAAAAAAAAATATCTGTTTTCTCTAACATTTCTCAGTCAAAATTGTTAGAGACAAAGAAACAGAATGCAAGACGACCGCCAATTCTTTCTAACATATCTTTATTTTGATTTATCTATCTAGTATTTTAATTGATTTTGCATTTGCCATCTTTTCTGCAGACTCCAATTTCCCATGGCACTGAGTTCTTACTCCAATTGGTGGACACTCGAGCATCTTAATCCAAAGATGAGTACCTTTCAACAAAGGCAGGAAGAGATAGCCAGGGAGCTCCTGGGCTTCTGTGACAATCTCAACCCGACCAACACAGTTTTTGATCCTTCCCTTGAGCCCAATGATTTCTTATCCACCGAAAACTATCACCATCTTCTCTCATACTTCTCTTATCCCTCTGATCCTCTAGTTACAGTCTCCTCAGGAACCCTTCCCACCCAACCACTTGGATTTCTGCTGCCAGTACCGGCATCAGTACCCAAAATGCCAAGGGACCTATGATGTTGATTTCTGAAACTCTGCTGATAGCATATCCAACTCCTTCGATGGGTATATCCCCAACTCTTTCCCAGTACCCAAAATCTTGCTCGAGTCTGATCAACTGTTGCTTCCAGGCACAGAAGTTCAAGTTCCACCAGTTTCTTTGAGTGACATTATGGACGACAAGAAGAAAGCTAATAGAGGGAATATGTCCACACAGAGTGTCGCTGCTCGGCAGAGGAGAAGAAAGATCACTGAGAAGACTCAAGAGCTTGGGAAGCTTATTCCCGGTGGGAATAAGATGACCACAGCAGAGATGTTTCAAGCTGCATTCAAGTACGTGAAGTTTTTACAGGCCCAAGTTGGAATCCTTGAGTTTATGGGATCAATATTCCAGGTAAATTTTCACCTCTACTAATTTTATAACAACGATAATTACTTAATTATATATAGTTCCGACTTTAATAATTCTTTGTATATCTACCGTTGTAATTTTTCCGAATAAGCAGCTTTATATTATTGGATTCAATTTTTATATTGATTAATATTACAAAAGGGCATTATTTTCTGCTTTTATTCCTGTCCTCTCTGTGTTTCTTTGTCGATTCAATATTCATGATTGGGTTGCTGACTAGAATGAGCCATGGTTTGGTGTTTGTTGTGCAGGAAACCGGTAAGGATCAATTTCATATAGAAAAACTCCAGGTTCTTGTGTCACCCACAATCCAAGAGAAGCTGTATTTGGAGGAGAAGTGCTTGGTTCCACTAGGATCTGTCCAAACCATAGCAAAAGATCACGACATACAATCGAACCCGTTAATCTCCGAAGGGCTGAAGCTGTTTGGTCAATCAGAGCATTTATAGTGAATTTAAAGCAATCCAAACCTGAAGTGGAAGTATTCTTTTGGGTTTTTAATTATATTTATATGCGTCCCTTCATTTGTTTCATGCATTTTGTCCGTGTAAATGTCATTTCTCCCCTTAATTTGTCGTCATTTCTCCCCTTAATTTGTCGTCAATTTCAGTTGAAGAATTTTAACTAATTAAAAATAGGATAAATTTCTGAAACATCCCTTGAAGTTTTTTGTTGTAGCTGAAACTTTTCCTGAAGTTTGGTAATTACAATCACCTTCCCTAAACTTTCTGACATAGTTGCAAACAGATCCCTCTTGATGGATTTTTTTTTTAAAAAACATGAATATCTCCAAAATATCCATGCAATTACTTTTAACAAAAATGTTTGTTTTCCAAATTTTCTTTTCATATGAATCACTACCCTAAACCCTTCCAATATTTTTTCTAAAATTGATCTATTTTTCAAATTTGCCCTTCATATCAATCACTCAAAGGTAAAGCTGCAAAATTAGTTAATTCTATTTGTTTTTTTTTTTGTTCATAATATTTGTATTGTTTTTTCCCCACAGAAACCAACCTCAATAATAATTGTATGGGTATTTTAGACATTTTCATGCATTTTTTTAGAAGATTTTACTAGAGGGTGTCTACTTGCAACTATATTAGAAAGTTCATGGGAGGTTTCAGCAACAATCAAAAACTTTAAGAAAGGTTTTAGCAAATTACCCTTAACAATATGGAGTGCCATCCAATAAAAACAAAAAGATTAGTTAGCAGTGCATCAGTATGATTATTAATTCATAGTCCTGCTGCGAATTTGTATATTATATGATCTGTTTGGCGTCGAATTTGTATATCTGTCATGACTCATGACTGCAAAGAGACTAGGTAGGGCTGAGATTTTTTCTTGAAGGCTTGAATCAAATTCAATTGGAACTTAAGTAATACTGCAAAAAGCTCCAAAGCCTAAAATGACAGAATTTGAGCTCCATCCACATTAAGGATCATAATCAACTTTTTAGTTTATTATTATATAGCACAAAAATATATTTTATAATATGTATTTTGAAGTCCGTTGACAGCCCTAGTAAGTAGTAACCATTAATCGAACAGGTAGGCCTCCATTAGAAGGAAATTAACTAATTAATCACTAAACATTAGAGAGTAGAAAAGGTAAACATGTCACACAAAATGTAGTAGCAACAACAGTTAGCTTTATATATATAATCAATCATCATCATCACAGTTTAAGGGTGAACCAGCCCTCGTCTCTTTATTTGCTGCACCTTTATAGGCAATAAGTAGGAAGACAAGAAAGTTGATAGAACTCAATACTGCTAATGTCCAATAGTAATTATCCAAGCGACTCCGGTTTAGAGTGTCCTGGAACCAGCTTGGTCGCCTTCCTTGCTTGCTGTTGCTAGCATGGCTTACTATGTAAACAGAAAGAACACTGCCTAGGCTTCCTGCTCCAAATGAACTGCTGATGAAGTGGTTAATATACTTGTTCATGGAGTTTGGGGTTTGCTTTCGGAAGAAATCCTTGATGTCGTTATGAGCAAATCCATGTAAGGACCCTAGCAACAAAAACTGTGGAAGTAGCCAAAATATACTCATGGGGATTGTGTCATCAGGCTTGTCTAGTAAGCCATGTTTTCTGATCACATCTAATCTTCTGGCTTCCACTTTTGCAGCAGTAATACAACACTCCTGATGCAATTCCAACTGGTGCGGCATACTCTTCCGTCTCTCACCCAAATCGCTTGACAACTTCTCATATAAATTGGAAGCTAGGGACTTTGAGCATTCACTGAACACTAAAAAGATTGGAAGGGGAAACGATAGGCGTCCAACCTTGCGATTCATGTGATTTGCCTGCTCAACAAAATAAGTGTTGCCAAAGGATAGTACAACACCAAAAATAGCAAAGGTAATCCACATAGGTATCATGCGTATGATGGCCTTAGTTTCTTCCACCTCTGTGACTCTGCAAAGGGTCCATCCATTCTGCGGCCGGGAAGGCAGTACCACTGCAGCTTTGTCGAGACATCTGTTTTTTCACTGAAATTTGTTAAACACAGAAATTCAAATTGCAGGTTCAATTGAGGCCGGAACCTATGGCAATTAGTATCTCTATCTCACACATTTAAATGGTAAGACTTTGGTTAAACACTGTAATGGTAATGGAGCCTATAAAAAGTCATTTAGCACAGTTAATTAAAACCTTGAACCAAGCCTTGCCAACTGCTCGTTTGAATCAACACTCAAACATTAACACAAGGTGGCAGGAGGGAGAGAGAGAGAGAGAGAGGTTTAGTAATGGTACCTGAGGCCCTTTGTGTGAGGCATCACATCTTCACCAGGGTCATGCATCCCATAAGGCTCAGCGTTATTAGTATTAGGAGGATGGTGCATCTTCAAGGTAGAAGCCACAAAGACCCGGAATACATGAGTAAGAGGACTGCCTTGCGGTTTGACAAATCTGTAAGAACCGCAATCACTCGAAAACAAAAGAGTAGCCACCGAAGTACATATTGCTGGAATTCCAAAGCGAACCGACCAAGGATGTATATAGGGAAGTGCTATTGCGCCAACTATTGGACCAATCAGCACCATCAAGGTACCCAAATTTTTAGCCCATCTGCACATTGCCAATGCATGCTTTCTCGTACCTGCTGGATGTGCCTGTAACCTTGGATAGGACGGGAGGGGTTGACATGGCTAAAAATCCCAAGCCCTACAAAGTTTTATTTGTAACTTTTCAAATTCTTTTCAATGTCCACAACACTCATGTTCAATAATATAACTTTCTAGTGTGGACACTGGCCAGTAAAAAAGTGAGACATGAGTGCTTTTAGAGATGTAAGTAGCATGGGAAACCAAGGTCTTCAGGAATAGGGGAAGTTTTTTGAGATGAGAATGGCAATATAAAGGCTCTCTTTTCCAGGGCAATAGGGGAGGGGGATTTACTATGAGCAGAATGGATGGCCATGGTTGTTAAGGAGATACAAAAAGTAAAAGATATCAAAAAATGAGAAGCTTGTAACGGCGGTTATGGGTGGCAGAAGAATACACACAGGAAGCACTTTGGACTTATAGGGACGAAATTAACAAGTGGTTAACTCGAGGAATGCAGGTGCAATGAGTTCAAAGATCAAATGCAATGGCTAATACTCCAGCAAAACAAAGGGTGAACAGAGAGGGCATGATACCCCAAGGTCTGGTATAATTTCAAGCTTTCAATCAATCCAAGTTGATAAATGGAAACAGAGCTTCAAGTTGGAGGGTGATGACATCTCTAAGCTGCATTTGGCATTCCTTATTTTAAGGACTTATCTCAAAACTCATTGTTCATAAGAGGCATTTTAACTGCAAATAAGAGATAAGTCCTTAAATAAGAAATGCCAAATGCAACCTAAGTGATTGGACGTTTTTATATTGGCAATGGTGGTCAAAAGAACATTTCCATGTCAAAATTTCTTATATTATATTCAAAAAGGATATTAAAACTAATCAAAGATGAAACCAAGCTAGATATTTGTATTGTTATTTTTTTAATCTAATGGTAACCATGTATGCGTTTGGTTCTGTTTACGTTTTTTTCATTCAACGTGTGTATTTTACTTACTTGCAAAACCGAGAAAGGTAATAATTACAATCGTTTATGACAACTAGGCACCACTAGGCTCCACATCAGCGTAACAGTGAAAAAATACTTAACCGTTTGTAAAAGCTTTAAAAAGTAACTTCCCCAAATGGTAGGCGTGCACAAAAACCAAAATCTACTTTTACCACTGCTGTAGTGGCGCCTATGTGGCAGCGTTTATTGAACAAACACCCACGAAACCAAACACACTGCATGTCTGATACTTTTTTAGATTCCCTTGTGTTATATTTCCATTATAAAAGTTTCCATGGACAAAATACGTGCATATTTACTACTTAGCCAAACTGTACTTTTAGGTTGGTCTTGGTTCGAGCTATTTTCACCCACGTTGTAAAAAATTGGATCAAGCCCTCTGCAGACCTTATCAAGTCATTTGGGCCTTATAACTCCAATGTAGCCAGCCAAGCAGATCAGCACTTGTTTTGGCTCAATCCCTATGTTCCAATAGAGGGGAGATCAAGTATTTGAGTATATTCCCATTAAATGACTAATCCGATGAGGGCATATTCGTGCATGAGGTCTCTCATTAAACAGTTTAAAATTCAATTTCTAACCCAATGTGTCAAACCCAAGGCCGGCTAGTCGGCTACCCTGGGGTTAAGGCGTTGAGCTATTTAAAGAGAGCCCGGATCTCCTGCAGCAAAAACCCTGCACAGAATACATTTAAGCAGACAGCCCCAAAAATGGCTGCCACATTGCTGATTTGGGCTCTCCAGATTTTTCATCAACCATAGCTTTATGGGCTGTCCATGTCCGGATTTCTTTCTCTTCTTCCTTCCTTTTTGATTTCTTTTGAAGGGCTATATTAAGAGCAGGTGCAGGCGGGATTCGATCCCCCGTCACCACTACGACCAACAGCAGACCTTACCAACCAGCTGATGGGCACCTTGATTATATTTTTTTTTATGAATAATTCTCTGGATTTTTCACCATAGCATATAGTTTGTCCATGTAGACCCCACCTGAGAAAGCCAGAAGTAGCTGCACTTCAGCTCTCCCAAATGGGTCTGGGGAGCTTCACTGCCCTCAGTGACCAGCTGATAGAATTGACACTTTGGCAGGCTCAATCCGGGGGACCATTTGATAATGGCTGAAGTTGCGCTGAAGTGAGCAATTTAGTGCTTTGTCTTATAAATAAAATAATTTAATAGTAAAATATTCAAAGGGTGTAGACGTATAATCAGTAGCCCACTACCTCCTTGAAAACGTATTCAGTAAAAGACAACGCAATAAACTCCAGTTCAGCCCTGGGGGGCTGGGGCAGTCAAATTACTTGTCTAGTTGGTAGTTAATATTAGCAAGCAAGTAAGCAAGAAGAATCTCAGAAAAGCAAACTTACAATGCTATAGGCGATACTGGAGACTAAGAGCATCCAAAAATGACCAACAAGAGTGTCGACAAGGTATGCCATTCCTATTGGCATGATTGCTGACACGCCATAGAAAACATTCATTACTGCTGTTGCGTGGGTGAAATCCATCTTCCATACATTTGTCAAGTATGTTACCATTACAAACAGAGTGTAGGCCACAAGAATATCAGCCCAACCTAGGACTACCATGAAAGAAGAGTTGACAAGTTAAATAAGACATCATGTCTTTCCTGTATCATAGATTTTCCCTATTGCAAATAACAAATACAAATAATAATTTGTATCCACACCTTCTGTTTTATAAATAATTTATCTGTTTACTAATAATGATCAATCGTGTATTTATCTTCATATTCCATCTCAAAATAATATGTTAGTGTATCCCCAGGGATTAAGCAAACTATAAAAACAAAACGGCAAAGAAGAACTAGTACATAGTGATGTGGATGTGTTTGACATGATTTCTTAAGCTGTTTCACCTTACACTCCACAGAGAAACTTAAAATAGAAAATAAACTGGATATGAAAGAATAAAAAGGAAGAAATATAAAAGACAAGAAACCAGAAAATTATTGCATTTGAGGAAGGATTCCACGCTAATCTAGATCCAAGCATGAGCTTCTTTAACCCTCCCCCCNCAACAATGGGTATTGCGACCGTAGTTACAACACTCCATTGCAACCCCCAATGGAATATTGACAAACCAGCAATTGAAAAAAAAAAAAAAAAAATACATGGACTTATTCGGATTAGTATACTTTTTTGCATATTCCTACCTAGTGTATCATATCAAGTATTTATGCATCAGTTCAGAATCTGAATGCTATGTTAATATGACTCAATTCAAAAGGAGCCAAAGAAAATTACATTGATATTCTTGTAAATGAATATTGGCAAATAAGCAAAAAATGTGAACCAATGAAATGGTGAGAGGTTACGTTTCTAGACCATTGTATTAAAGGTGAGACACCTTTAACATGATTGGTTCACGTTTTTGCTTTATGGTCCAGTTTCTAACCACTGTGACACTCATGATTCATGAATATTATTTAATGTTTAGACATGGTATAAGGGGAAAAACTGGATTCATGTTCTAACTTGCTCCATCATATGCAAAAGAAAAACAAGTAAAGCAATTGTCTTTAGGTTATCAATTGATCATTTTCAGGTGATTGACAATTTTGAGGTGGCTAGGCAGTGAAAATACCAGTTATTTTGGATTGACAAGCCCAACTAGGAAGTAGGTTGGAGGATCACCAGCTGTTGTATTCCCCCAGGCCAGAAAATGTATTGAAGTGGTTTCATATTACTATACAGGGCAGAAAAATATCATCTCCAATCCATTTTAGCTACTAACATAGTCTTTTTCTTATAGTCTAAAAGTGCCATAACCTAATGATGGTCCCCGCTATTCAGGGTCTTGGGAGGGTTGGACTGGATTCAGACCTAACCTTTGGCATCACACCAGTTAAATAGAATTAGTGTCAAGTATGTTCAGGACATGCCTGTCGGCATTTTTACTTTGAGATTCCACCAAGGAGCTATTTCTGCTAGAATGCTACTCATAACTCTGTCTCCATTAAATCTCTAAGTCATCTCCTCATATTTGGCAGCATAGCCAGACATTCTTGGAACCATTTTAGTAACTTATTGAGCATTGGCAAAATCCAAGTGACACTATTTTTTTCCTAGGAGCATTTAGGTGGTTCTCATCCATAAAGGAAAGGACCTTGTTAAATGGCTTACAGAGAATGCTTCCCATGGTTATTTCCTGCACCATTTAGTTCATCATCATCATCATCCATGCCATATCCCAGCTATATGGTGCTGGCTACATGAATCCTATTTCGCCAATCTGTTTTATTTAAAAACATATCCTCTGTTAAATTATTAGTGTTTAAATCATTTCTTACTACTACCCATGTCCTTTTTGGTCTAGCCGTAGCCCTTCTAGCCCTTCAACTTGTGACAAATCAGTTATTCTAAGCGGTGCTGATGATGGTTTTCTATTCACTTGACCAAACCATCTTAGTCTACTTTCTCTTATTTTATCACATATTGGGGCTACTCCTAGGTTCCTACGAATGACTTCATTCCTGATCCTATCCTTTCTAGTTTTTCCACTCATCCATCTTAGAATTCACATGTTTGCCACTCATCTTCTGGACATGTTTCTTGACTGCCCAACACTCTGCTCCATGCAACATAGCTCCATTTAGTTAACTCCTCCAGCATGGGCCTGTCTTACACTGCTGGTCCCAAGCCCAGATAGAGGAGGAGGTTTGCATCAGGTTGGCAGCCGGCACTAAAACTTTTGCCAAACCTTTATGAATATGCAAGTGAAAATTTCTAACTGTATAGGATTACATAACATGATTGCTTCATTGTCAAAATTGATGGGGAATTTCAAAACAATCTTGAACCAAATAGGAGGGGAGGACTGGGAGGTCCAATTACAAACCATAGGACAAATCTACTGGTATAATGTATTCATAGAATTTTTATGGTTATGGATCTAGTGTTGCTTAATCATGAATGTAGAGGAGTAATAAACTCAACCCAACTCAACAATGACTTATCCCAATAATATGAGAATACATGAATCTTAAACTGAGGTTTTGTAACGGCTATTGAGTCAAACCTGACTACATTGGAAATGAATCCTGGCTCATGGTACTGACAAGATCAACTAAACTATCATATCTCTCTCTCTCTAATCAATTGTTTTATTTACTACAACTTTCATGAAAACAACAGACCCGTTAATGTTTTGGGAAATTTGGCAAATTAAATCAAAAGCGGCCATCCCATTCTTCAGAACTATTTAGAAAAGAATGCCAGAGGATTTATTTTACTAAAGAAGGCACAAAGTAAATTTCTAATTCAAAATCACAAAAGAACCTGACTTTGACAAAGTTCTCATAAAGTTGAAATAATCATTAGAGAAGAATAAGTGATCAAATCCAAGTCATATAAATCATGGTATTGTTTTCCTTTATGCTCCATCTGGAGGAAAGTTCAGAAACACAATAAACACCAACCTCAAATCCAATCGGTTAATTTTATAGCCAGAAATAACACTAGTTGTTTTTCTGTTGCTGCAGGTCGAAAGAGCCAAGACTCAAGTGTCACATGAGGTGTTGGAGATTGAACTGAAGGCAATATGTTTCCCATCAAGTTTACCATGTGGCAGGGATATAAATTTGTTGTTTTGGAATCTGACAAAATATCTACACTTCATGGAGATTATGCTTCTGTTACTTTGGAGTTGTTGGCCTATTCTTAATATCAGAACTCTTTGTCTGGATTTGGATACAGTTAAATTTTGTTTTGTGTATAGGCAGGTTAACAAATAAGCCCATATAGTTGCTCAACATGCTAAAATTTTGGACTCTGAGGTTGTGTGGACTGATAAGCCTCCTCCTTGGTTGTGTAATGTTGTGGAAACTGTTATCAGTTTGCATTTAATGAATGCATATGTTAATTTACAATAAAAGAATCCAATAGGTTAATTTGAAGACAAAAATTCAAGTACTGATAGAGTTATGAGTTATGACCTTCCGATTTGAATGAAACATTCTGATTTACAAACATAATAACCATGAACATTAAGGAGAATAGGGGAAGAGGGGGGCCCAGAAAAGATGGCTAACTGAAATGTCCAAATGCATTGATGCAATTACCAATGATTCTTTTGAAGGATCTTGGTTCGCTGGCCATTTCCTTGTCGTTGTGTTGCCCTTTCTCTTTCTCTTTCCCTGTGAGAGATCCAAATTATACAGAAATAAACTCATTCTGAAATTGTAACAACTGAATAATTATATACCAGTCTAAAAACAAGAAAGCTCAGTCACTGAACAAGTACAGGGGGTCAAGAGAAACAAAAGAAGGAACAAATAATTTAAACATTTCCTTGCAATTCAGACATTTTCAAGAAGAGAATAGCTTTCTCGCACTTTTCAGAAAAGATGTGATGGGGACAGAGGGAAGCAATCCTAGAGATCAGAAGAAGTGCATATTCAGGTCAACACTGAATTCAAATCCAATTATGAATGAAATCTAATATTATTACATGTTTTTTAGGTAAGAATATTATTGTAAGTTTTTCTTTTTCCTAATTAGCAAATTAATGCATTCATTTACCCACAGACCAAAATACATTAGTTGTCTTTTAACCACTATTTAGATTATTACATAACCCTTTTAACGGAGTCCAACATATGTGGACAAGTAATAGTAGCATCATTGCCATTAAGCAAACTAATGGGCTAATGGCATTTAAAGAGCCAGAAAAAACCAAAACAGACATCAGTTCCCTTGAATAGCCCAATTCTCCACTTCAATAATTGCCATAAACTCCACTTCCATACCACCTTCACTATGAAACATACACATACACACACACAGCAGCAGTAGTAGCAGTCAAATAAAAAACTAAAGCTGTTAGTATAACACACAAACCCAAATGCTCCACCTTTAACTCTCAGTGTTCCCACATCAGGCCATCATAGAAAAAATTGATATAATTACTCACATTCAAATGCAAAGATCTGGGAACGGAAGAACAAACCTGATTTTGAGCCACATTCATATCATCAGCAATATTGCAACTATTGCAAGCTATAGAATGGGAGGATATTTTCTCCACAATCAAGATGACACTAGACAAAAAGGAGAAACATCCTGAAAAAACCATGAGATTCCTAGCCCACCAAATATAAAATCAAGCCAAAGCAATGAAGCCATACTATTCTTGATACTTAAGATCGACATTTGAGAAAGCAAAGAAGAATCAATACCTACCAGACTACCACCTCATTCACATGATTAAAAGGGATTTGAACACCCCACCTAGGTAAAAACCACACCCCTCTAGATAAATGACAGTTAAAGAAAAGATGAACCATTACCACAAAAGGAACAAATATTATCCACACAAAACCCTTTGGTACATAAGACATCCTTAACCTCTAACTTTATTATGGCGGTGAATCTCTGACCTTCAACACCTAAAGTTGACATGTCTCGCAGTATGATGGAAAACGGCAACCTGCAACAAAAAATAAATAACAAAAAAATATACATAAATGAAAAAAAAAAAAAACAGGGGAAACAGGGGAGCGCTGGAGCGGTGTCTCCATCAAGCATCTCATTCCATCAACCGCTGACTTCGTGGAAAACCCACTGAACAAAACAGTTCATCCCAAGCCAATGCTTCTTCATTCCTCCTAGAAAAAAAATGAAAGCATAAGATAAACCAGGCCAACCAAAAAATTCTCCTTTTGACCTCATGATCTAAAAATATCAACAAATATATGCGAATACTATGCCCTTATTCCAGATGGAAGTTCGAAAGTCTTCCACTACTTGATTATCACATATTTTTAAACTCAGATCAGGAAAGGGTGTAAAGATAAAATGAAAAACAAGTATACAATGATCTCCTAGTCATCTTACATAAGGCTGCGTTTGTTTGCTATACAAACACTGAACCGGGGTATTTATGCATTCCGATTCGTGTTTGTGAACGTTTGTTTGAAACTTAAAAAAGTAATGATTATCAAAGTAAAATTGTATTTTTTGATACTTTTGTACTCTAAAAAGAGAGTATTATTGTAGCTATTTTTTTGGATATAAATTTGTATTCATTTGATAATTAACCTTTTGATCAAAGTTGAGACATTGGAGCATAAGATAGTTGGAACAGTTAATGATGGATTCACATCTTTACACCCATTTCAATCAATGAATGCAAAAACAATTTAAAATGTGAACCGTATTTACATTCATGAAATAAAAAATGAGAAATATGTAGTGTACATGTTTGTGTTTCTATTGCAAATGAAAAAGATTTTTAGAGGCAAAATCATTGAGAAGGTGACACTTCCACCATTCCACGTTAACGAGTCTGGATGTGCGCCGTGTGTGAGGAGCAGATCTGATCTCCTACAATTCACCTTGTATTATCAGTGACCGTTAATAAAACTGTCCAACTAACCTTGAGTGGTCAATTGACCCTAGTGACTTAGAAGTTAGAAAATGAACAAACTTTGACCATCTACAGGTGACAGCATTGTCCCAACAAGTCATTAAAGTTACACATTTAGAACATCTCCCCATGAATGACAAGTGAGATGTAAGGTGAGGTTATTGAATAGGTTTTTATACTCTAACACTTTTCCTCACGCCAAAGCCAATTGGGCTTAAAACATAGACAAGCACAAATCCACTCAAACCTTATACTGAAACTTAATTATGACAGGGGAAATGAGAATTAAACACTAGACCATTTTGATCAAAATAGTTGTAATCAAAAGAACCACTCAATCCTATAACTTAAGTTATTAGGGGATAAATGGGTTTTTATTGTCTAACAGTAGCATATCCCTACCCCCATTGTACAATCTATTAATGAAGGAACAGTAGCATTGTCTAGGAGTGATCATTGGCTGGACTTGAATCCAGACCTATAACTTTTGTGTGTATTAGTATCAAGTGTATTTAATATTTTATATTATATCTCATTTAATATATGTATAAAATTTATTTTATATACTATATATTATAAAATATTATATATATAATATGTACTATAGGTGTCACATTATAATATTTATTTATAAAATATAAAATAAATAATATACATATTATAAATTTTGTATAAAATAGTAGATTTTATGTATTTTGTGGGTTGGGCCAAGCCTTGTCCTAAAATTTGTGGGTTCGGGCTCAAGTTAGGCCTAAACACAAAGCCCAAATATGAGCTTGGGATTCTGAGCCGGGCTGAAAAATGATAGATTTCTAATAAGGGTCTCGGGAGTAGGGGTGGCAATTTCTCACCCAACCCATTGAACCCACCTAGTATCTAACCCACCCATTTACTTGGTGGGTTGGAAATGGGTTGATCACCCATTGGGTCAATTTAAATGGGTTGGGTCGGGTTGCGTTGTGGATAACCATTGGGTTAACCACTAAAGATACAAGTATTAATTCTTTAGCCCTTTTTTTTATTTTCTTCATTTGAGTAAAAAAATTTATAATTAATGCATTAATCTTCTATTAATTATTGACTAAAATTAGTTTTGCCTCGAATCAACACACTTTCACCTAAATTGACATAAATCCAAATCAACCTGATCCAAGTATAGACCAGTTCAACTCAGTCTAAATATTAATAGACCCAATCACCTTGGTTTGGTTCATTTAGGTTGGTTAGCCCACTCCAAACCCAACCCGATCTAGATCAGACAAATTTGGGGGCGACCCGAATCCAAAGCAAACCCGTATGGGCGGGTTTGATCCAGGCTAGTACAATTTGGTCCGCTTGCTTTGACCAATTTGGATCATCGACCAACCCGTATTTGTACAAACCCGACCCATATTTGGATTGGCCCCGATTTACTTCCCTCAACTCGATTTGGTCCCAAACCAGTGCACAACCTGATATGGGGCCGATCTGAGTCAATCCGCTATTGGATGAACCGGTTTGGGTTGGTCCGACCAGACTGATCTGAATCCATACTGTTCAACCGGTCTTAATGTGATTAGCTCGAACACAATCAAATTAGATAGTTCAAGGTCTGACAGGTTTGAACCTAAGTGGTTCGTTCAAACTTGAAACCCAAACATAATCAAATGACTTTGCCACTTGTGTAAAACTAGCATGCATGTATTGTGATTTGAACCTTCACCACTCGTGTAAATAACAATTACTATTACCATCAAGCTATGACCAAATTATTTGTCAAGTGGAAATTAAGTTTTTGTTTTAAGTACATAAATATAAGATTAATGGGTTTGGGTGAATTGGATTGAGTGACAGAGGATTTGGGTTGAACCTAATCCATTTAATTTTATATAATTGGATAATTAATAGGTTGGCGGATTAGATGAATTAGGTTGAAGCTCAACCCAAAGTAAACCCAACCCAACCCGCTCAATTGCTACGGCTACTCAAGAAGTTTTAAAAAATCTATAAAATAAAGAGAAATTGAAAAAGTGAAAGAGAGTTTTAGATAATAATAATTAACTTCTGTATCAAGGCAATTTCAATGATGTGCCAATGGTAATAATAGGGGAAGAACATTAATCAATCTGACCCTGTGAATTTTGATTAAAAGTAGCCTGATTGATTACCAGTTTTGATGATAACCTATTGATTGGTTTATTAACTTCTAAGGTATGATGCACTAATAACTTAAATGTATATGGAATGATAATAACATGGCTATTAAAGCGAATTTGGTATGGCGTTATGGACAGCGAGATTAAATATTACACGCAGTTCCATTGGATACTCTATTTTTTTGGGTTTTTATTCTTCAGTCCATTTAATAAATTTTAATTTCACTTTATAATTGGGGTAGGCAGAAATGAAATTCAGAATTTTAAAATGGAGTACAGTGTAATATTCTCTCTTTTTTTTTTTTTTTCTAAATTCTTGAGTCCTCCAAAATCAAAAGTTACGCACGATTACAGGATCGATCTTATGGACGGCCTGGATCAGCCAAAAAATCCGTCCATGTTGCAGAAGTGCATGTAAAGATCGGAGATGGGCTCCACTTGAGCTGAGGCACGTGAATATTTTCTTGGTAGATGTGGGCTCCAGTCCACACCCGCACCCATCCAAATCTTTCAACCAATCTTCCGTTTCTTGTGGTGTGGTACAAGAATGAAGCATCTATCGTGCTACTTCTACTAGACCGATAGATACTTGTACTATTGCGCGCATTGGGTTTGGGGTGTTGGGAGTTGGGAGTTGGGACATGTGGAGATCGGACGTTAGATTAGCCTCATGGAGCGCCGATGTACCTACTTAAAGCATGCCGGAAATGAGGGAAACGCATCCGACGCACAAACGCAACGCTTCCCTCTAACCGTTAGTAACTTCTCTCGTGTATTGCTTTTTGTTAAATTACAAAAATACCCTCAACTCTCCCCAAATGTACATTCATTCGCAGTTATGACTTATGATGATCGTTCCTCCCCTCTATCCCTAAATTCTACACTTAATTCTCATCATGTTATTATGCTTCGGGTTTTGTAAGTATCAGGAGTAGTAGTAACCAACAACCAATCGTATTTATCGAAAATTCACTAACGAAAAATAAAGAAATTGTGGTTTTTTAGATAAGGAAATTGTCAGACGACAATTCAATTCTTTCTCTGACTTTTTATATATTTTCCACAATTTTTATGGTATCGGAAAAAGCATGATTACTGACAAATCCACGTGAATTTGAGTGATTTCGACTACGACTCTATGAGTGGTTTGATTAGTAGTAATTGGTTGATTAATGATGATCAGTTTTTTTGGATACCGTACTCTTTTCGGTATACAGTATGGGGATATGAATGATGATAATCGGAATTATCGAGTAGGACATGCAAGAGACCGTTAATGAGGTAGGAGGAGAAGGAAGTTGAGGGGAGTAGTGGGTGTGGGTCCAAAACCAAAAGCAAAGCCGCGCTAAATGTCGCAGAGAAGAGATCAGATATGAATAAACTTCCGTTGCGAACGATAGGAGAATCTTAAACCTTTCAATATGACAGGCGCCACGTGGCTTTTCTGTCTACCATTGGAAGGAGCATTTCCTCCTTTCAGAAGCAGCGAAAAGTGAAACCGAGTGGGATATATTGATATTGGGATGGCAATAACGGTCTCGTATGCATAACCCTAGAATTAAATACGGAAGGCCATGTGTCATCCTAGCTTCTCGGAGGCCGTTAACCGTTTCAAGCCTTCTCGACCCCTGATTTATATGCTTACTGCTCTCTCTCTCTCTGCATGTGCTTTTGTGTCTCGAAGAGTCAAGAATCAAGCGTCAGTGTTAGTTTGGTAACGTTTATTTGATTCCACAAAGTCCCAAAGCCTTCTTGTACCGTATCTTCTCAGTACTCAGCAGTAATTAAATTCTGCCGCCTCTCTCTCTCTCTGGCACACGCACACACTCAAAAGTAGGCTGTGTTCTGCTTCGTTCACCATGCACCAAACTCTCTCTCATGTTTATATCCGCTGCCTTCTATTTTCCTTTCAACTGTGTTTTACTGTTCCTGATTCATGAATCTTAAAGCATTACTGTAGCTGCTAGTATTGTTCACGTTTTATGTCACTCCTAGTAATTGGTAACATGTTTTCTTATGCTCATTCTTACATCCCATGCATGAACTTTTCAACGAGACAGAGAAACTGAAAAACCAGAAGAAAAAATGCTTGTTTTCTCTGGTTCTTTTTCTAATATTATTTCCCAGTCAAAATTGCTAGACAAAGAGACAGATTGCAAGATAATCACGAACTGGCACAACTTTCTTTATGAACATATCTCTATTTTGGATTAATCTAGCTACTATTTTAATTGATTTTGTATTTACCATCTTCTCTCTGCAGATTCCAGTTTCCATGGCATTGGGTTCTTGCTCCAATTGGTGGACACTCGAGCATCATAATCCAGAGATGAGTCCCTTTCAACAAACGCAGGAAGAGATAGCCAAGGAGCTCCTGGGCTTCTGTGACAATCTCAACCCGACCAACACATTTTTTGATCCTTTCCTTGAGCCCAATGATTTCTTATCCACCGAAAACTATCACCATCTTCTCTCATGCTTCTCTTATCCCTCTGATCCTATGGTTACAATCTCGTCAGAATCCTTTCCACCCAACCACTTGGATTTCTGCTGCCAGTACCGGCATCAGTACCCAAAACGCCAAAGGACCTATGATGTTGATTTCTGTAACTCTGCTTATAGCATATCCAACTCCTTCGATGGGTATACCCCCAACTCTTTCCCAGTACCCAAATTCTTGCTCGAGCCTGATCAACTGTTGCTTCCAGGCACAGAAGTTCAAGTTCCACCAGTTTCTTTGAGTGACATTGTGGACGACAAGAAGAAAGCCAATCGAGGGAATATGTCCGCACAGAGTGTCGCCGCTCGGCAGAGGAGAAGAAAGATCACTCAGAAGACTCAAGAGCTTGGGAAGCTTATTCCCGGTGGGAATAAGATGACCACAGCAGAGATGTTTCAAGCTGCATTCAATTACGTGAAGTTTTTACAGGCCCAAGTTGGAATCCTTGAGTTAATGGGATCAATCCAGGTAAATTTTCACTTCTACTAATTTTATAACAACGATATATAATTACTTAATTATGTATAGTTCCGACTATAATAATTCTTTCTTTATCTAATGCGTTCAAATTTTTCTAAATAGCACCTCTACTCTATATTATTGGATTCAGTTATTTTTCGCTTTTTTCCTTTTCTCTCTGTGTTTCTTTGTTGATTCAATATTCATGATTGGGTTTCTGACTAGCATGGGCCATGGCTTGGTGCTTTTTGTGCAGGAAACCAGTAAGGATCAATTTCATATAGAAAAACTCCAGGTTCTTGTGTCACCCTCAGTCCAGGAGAAGCTGTATTTGGAGGAGAAGTGCCTGGTTCCACTAGGATTTATCCAAACCGTAGCAAAAGATTACGAGATACAATCGAACCCTTTAATCTCCAAAGAGCTGAAGCTGTTTGGCCAAGCGGATCGGAGAATTGATGGTGAACCTAATGCAATCCAATCTTGAGGTAGAAAGCATTCTTTTGGGTTTTCTAATATGAGTCTTGTGCATTTGTTTCCAGCATTTTTGCCATGTAAATGTCATTAACCCTGTTTGTCGTCCTCTTGTTGTTCGACCTAGTCTATTTTCTTGTAAAACCCATTTTGTCCCCAAGATCTGTTGGATTACTGTTGTATTTTCGGCAGTAATAACTAATAATTGTAAGGGGTCCAACTTCAGTACACACAGCAAGAAAGTGGGATTTTTGTGTTGATCCAAATGCGTCAATTTCAGTTAAAGAATTTAACTAATAAATTTATAGTACCACCCAACATGAAAATGATGACAAAATAATGTCGACTAGCATGATTTAAGTTAACAATTTTACAATATATCTCTAATATATCATTAATTTATATTCCTTTTATTCAAGCCAAATATACAAATCGAATTTGTATATCTTTTTGATATTAATATTGCACCGTGTGAACTTGCAACCGTACATAAGGTTAATTACGACTTAAGAGAGCAGGATGCACATGAGGTGCACTAAACTAGCCATACATATATACCATCGAGAGTCAACAGTTCCACAGGTTTAATCCAGCGCCACCTACTCGGGAGGGATTCCGACTCTGACCATCTCAATTAGACAATTACTACTGGGATGTCGGCAGGTATTGGTCCTCTGCCCACTTGCACGACTTAAGGTTAATTAAGAGCTGGAGCTAGAGCCTGTGAAACATTACTCTAGTAACTTAGTTTGAACTGAATTCTGGCATCTGTTTCTCGACAAGTCATTTTAATGTAAAAACGATGGGCCCTTATCATTAGAAAAGCGTTGGAGAAACTCTGAGGGCTAAATGAGACCCTGATCCCTTCCAAAATTGCACGGAAGTGATGTATGCAGTTTATTGGATGAAGCCAAGTATTATAACACTCTCCCCGTTCCTGGTATCTTAACCTTTATCAATAAAAAATTTCACAAAACCTGGAAGTCTCCAATGCGTACACAATTCAGAAGCCACCTAAACCGGTACAAACTAACAAACCAAACATGGACACTTCCATTTGCAGGAAACTAATCACGAAACATTACAGTAACAAGCAATAATTTAGAAAGGATAACTTCATGAGAGAGAGAGAGAGAGAGGGGGGAGGGATAAACATGCCACATAAACATACCAGCAAGGTAGCAACAATAGCGAGCTATATCATCGCAGTTTAAGGATGACCAACCCACGTCACTATCTTTTTTTACTGCATCTTTGTAGGTGTAACAAAGTGCAATAACTATAAAGACAAGAAAGTTGATAGAACTCAATACTGCTAATGTCCAGTAGTAATTATCCAAACGATTCTAGTTTAGAGTTTTCCTGGAACCAGCTTGGTCGCCCTCCTTGCTTGCTAGCTTCGCTTGTTATGTAAGCAGAAAGAAAACTGCCTATGGTCCCTGCTCCAAGTAAGCTTTCGATGAAGAAGTCAATATACTTGGGGAGCTTGCTCTCCGAAGAAATCCTTGATGTCATTACGAGCAAGTCCATCTAAGGCCCCTAGCAACAAAAATTGTGGAAGTAGCCAAAATACACTCATGGGGATTGTGTTGTCAGGCATTTCTAGTAATACATGTTTCCTGATCACACTTAATCTTCTGGCCTCAACTTTTTCAGCAGTAATACAACACAGTACAGAGAACAACATTCCTAGTGCAACCCCAACAGGTGCGGCATACATCTGTCTCTTCTCACCCAAAAGGCTTGATAATTTATGATATAACTTGGTAGCTAGTGGCTTTGAGCATTCATGGAACCATAAAAGGATTGGAAGAGGAACCTTTACGTTTGCGATTCATGTGGTTTGCCTGCTCAACAAAATAAGTGTTGCCAATGGACAGTACAACACCAAATATGACAAATTAATTAAGGTGATCCACATGGGTACCATGCGAATGATAGTCTTAGCTTCTTCCACTTCTGGGACTCTGCAAAGCGTCTATCTTTTCTTCACTTGTTCCTCAAGAGGTCGGGAAGGCAATATCATTGCAGCTGTCAAGACATCTGTTTTTCCACTGAAACTTTTTAGACACAGAATGACAGAATTCACATTACGGGTTTACCAGAGGGAACTTACCGCACATCTCATCTCACACATCTGGGTGGATACACGCTATAATGAAGCCTGTGAAAAAGTAGCTGAGATCGGGCCCCGCCCTTTGTGTGAGGTATCACATCTTCACCATGGTCATGCATCCCATAAAGCTCAGCGTTATTAGTATTAGGAGGATGGTGCATATTTGAGGTAGAGGCCACAAAGACCCGGAATACATGAGTGAGAGGACTGCCTTGCGGTTTGACAAATCTGTAAGAACCACATCCACTCAAAAACAAAAGAGTAGCCACCAAAGTACATATTGCTGGAATCCCAAAGCGAACCGACCAGGGAAGTGCTATTGCACCAACTATTGGAACAATCAGCATCATCAAGGTGCCCAAAATTTTAGTCATGAGGCCCCGTTCTTCCAATATCACCTTGTCCTGTTTGCTCTTCCTTTTGTTCTTCTGAAAATGCGTGTAATGAGGTCAAATGACCAGATAAGCCCACAGCCATTAGAGCTAACAAATCATAGAACAAGCCCATCCGCACGTTGCCAATGCATGCTTTCTCGTACTTGCTGCATGTGCCTGTAACCTTGGATAGGGCGGGAGGGGTTGACATGGCCAAAAATCCCAAGCCCTACAAAGTTTATTCGTAACTGTTGAATTCTTTTCAAATGTTACGATGTCTATAACACTCATGTTCAATAATATAACTTTCTGTGAGTCACCATAACTATCCATGGTTTTGCTAAAGTGTGTGTGTGTGCAAATGGAAGGCAGGGGATAGCCCTTCCCCAACACTCCAAAACCACCTAGCACCAATGAAAGCGGGATTCAATTCCAGGCATTACAAACAGCATGAAACTTGGTCATTATCCATACTCAGATTAGGATATAGTAGTTATCTTAAGATGACATTAAGCCACTAAATGGGTGTTTAGTTCACACAGATAAGTAACTTTTCATCCGATATTAACTGAACATCAGTAGAAAAGTTTGATTTTCCATCTATAAAATATCATTGATAAGTATGCTTAGGCTTATAGCTGTGATAAGTATGCTTACCTACTTATATCTTATGACAAGTAAATTGTGTAATAGGTTACTTATCATGAACTACTTAGTAACTAGTTAATTATGAACCAAACACCAGCTAAGGTGCCCATAACCTATTCAATGACTTATTCAGTTCAGCCAATTCAGCCATAACCTAACAGTCCCCTTGAACATGTTTTAAGTGAAATGTGGTTTTGCAACAAAATGCTTGCTAATCAATTTCCCAAATAATACTATAAGTATATGGAGTTCATTTGTTGTTTGGAGGAAAAGGGGGATTGTTCACTCTAAGCTATTTAATCAATAATCTCCATTTGGAAATGCTTAAAAGAAATTTTTTCCATGTCAAAATTTCTTATATTATATCCAAAAACAATATTGAAATTAATCAAGATGAAGCTTTGCTATAATTTCTTATATTATATTGTTTTTTATCAGGTAACTATACATGGTACTTCTTTGCAAGCATTCTCCCACCTTAGCCTGGTCTTGGCTCGAGCTATTTTCACTGACCTTAGTGAAAATGACCAAACCCTCTGCAAACCTTATCAAGCCATTGGGCAACACAATTCCAATCTAGCCAGCCAAGCAGAAGCACATGTCTTGGCTCAATTTGTAAGTTCCCGAGAGAGGGGTTACGCATTCCCATCATATGACTGCATTAATCAGGGGCGTACTGCCATACATAGAGACTCATTAAACAGTTTGAGACCTGCCCCTATAACCAGTTGATATAACTAGGGAGCCTTACTGCCCAGCCGATAGATTAAATGCTAACTACTTGAGGGCCTGGGGCAACCAAATCCCTGTCCAGTTGGTAGTTAGAGAATCTCAGAAAAGCAAACGTACAATGCTATAGGTGATACTGGAGAATAGGAGAATCCAAAAATGACCAACAAGAGTGTCAACAAGGTAAGCATTCCTATTGGCATGATAGCTGAGACACTGAAGAAAACATTCATTACTGATGCTGCGTGAGTGAAATCCATCTTCCTTACATTTGTCAAGTATGTTACCATTACAAACAGAGTGTAGGCCACAAGAATATCGGCCCAACATAGGACTACCATGAAAGAAGAGTTGACAAGTTAATAAGAAATCATGTCTTTTCAATCTTATTGCAAATCACAAATACAGTCTGTTTACCACAAATAATAATTACTTGTGTACTTCTCTTCATATTCATTCTCAATAATGCTAGTATGTTCCGCGGTATTATGCAAATTATAAAAACAAAACAGCAAAGAAGAACTAGTAAACAATTATCTGGTTTCTGTTTGATATAATTTCTCAGGCTGTTTTACCTTACATTTGGCACAGAGAAACCAAAAATAGAAAATAAAGTGGAAATTAAAAAGTCAAAAAGGAAAAAGAAAGACAGGAGACCAGAAAAGTTATTCAATTTGGTTGCATAGAGAAAATCATCATCACCTAAGCTTTGCCCCACTACATGAATCCTGTTTTGCCATTCCATTCTCTTCAGTGCCATATCCATCTTTAAATCATGGGAACTTAAGTCATTTCTTATTACTTCCTCCCATGTCCTTCTCAGTCTGCTCCTAGCTCTTTTATCCCTTCAACTCGTATGTTGTAACAGATCACTTTTTCTAACAGGTGGTGTACATGGTCTTCTATTGAAATGACCAAACCATCTCAATCTACATTCTCTCATTTTATCACCTATTGGAGCTACTCCTAGGTTCCTTTGTATGACTCATTTCTAACCTTGTCTTTTCTAGTTTTACCACTCATGCAAGCATGCACATTTCTGACACACTTTTTTTTTATCAGTTCTGCCACACTCATTTCTTGGACATACGATTTCTTAATGGTTTCACAGAGAAAATATAAAAGAAAATTTAAGGGAAGCGATTAGTCACTACAAAGCAAAAACATGCAGGTCATGTGGATTAATTAGAAAAAGTACATATGGAAGAATTCCATGATAATCTAGATCCAATATGATCTTACAAGAATTGACTCTTACCTGTATGTAAAAGTCAGGTTTATCTATGGGTATTCATATATGATCCAGGACTCAATGAATCTGAACCATCAACCATAATTGGACTTGACTGGGATTAGCATACTTTATTTTTTTTCATATGCCTACTTGGTGTATCATCGCAAGTATATATGAACCAGTTCATGGATCAAAACTTGGTGTTTGGTTGGTTGCTTTGAAGGAGGACTCCAAACATGGCAGCAGTGAATAAGTGGGTGCAAGACGGATGGTCCCCCAGGTGGAGCAAGAGTGAAAAAGTTGGTCAGCGCTTATTCCTGTTTATGCTTTCCTTGGTAGGAGAGGCTTCTAGAATCCTAAATCAAGGAAAGAAAACTTTGGGTGGAGAACAAATGTTTCTTGATTGGTGGAGGGTGTGTGTGGGTTGTAGCACCAATGAGCCGCAGAAAACAAGGAGAAAGAAAATAAAATCTGGATTTTAGTTTATGCTTGCTGGTGCCCTTATGAAGTCTGGAAATTATTGAAGCCATAGGGAATTATAGTGGAGTTTTATCCAGATGGATGATTTTGAAGAGAGTTGGCTACCCGTGCTTGGAAAGCAACAATACCAGCCATGGTGGGGATAGAAATGAGAAACACTAGATATAATATCACCACATGGCTTTTCCTAGAAAACAAAAAAAGGAGGTTAAATTAGAAATCATGGGACAGATTTACTGGTGTATTCACAGAATTTTTATGGTTATGGATCTAATGTTACTGAATCATGAATGTAGAGGAGTAATAAGCTCAACCCAACTTAAATGACTTTTCCCAACTATAGGGATCTGCTACATGAATCCAATAAGATATTGTAACAACTACTAAGTCAAACCTGACTATATTGGAAATGATTCCAGGCTCATGGTACTGGCAAAGATCAAATAAACTATCGTATTAGATTTCTCTGTAATTAATTGTTTTACTTGCCACAACTTTCATAAAATCAATGCACCTGCTAATGTTTTGGAGAAAAGAATGCCTGAGGATTTCTTTTACCAAACAAGGCACAAAGTAAATTTCTAATTTGAACTCACAGAAGAATCTGACTTTGGCATACTTCTCATAAAGTTGAGAGAGGTCACTAGAGAAGAGTAAGCAACAAAATCCAAGTTATATAAATCAAAATATATTTTCATTAAGCTTCCATCTTGAGGTCAGTTCAGAAACGCATAATAAACACCAGCCTCAAATTTAATTGGTAAATTTTATACTCATAAATAACACTAATTTTTGTGCTGCTGCAGGTGACTAGAGGCAAGTGTCACAGGGTGTATTGGTGATTGAAATGAAGGCAATTATCTATGTTATTAAGTTTGCTACTTGGCAAGGAAATAAATCTGTTGTTTTGGAATCTGACTGTAAAGTCTAAACTAGTTATATCTTCACTCATGCTTCTCTTCCTTGGCCTTGTTGGCCTGTTTACGACAACTCTTTGACTCAATTTACGTATAGGCAGGCTAATAGAGCAGCTCATATAGTTGCTCAACATGCTAAAATTTTGAACTCAGGTTGTATGGACTGGTAAACCACCTCCTTGGTTGTGTAATGTTGTAGAAATTGATTATTAGTTTGCTGGCAGTGAATATGTATGTTAATTTATCCATAAAAGAATCCAATAGAAAATTTTGAAGACAAAATTTCAAACATCATCAGGGTTATGACCTACCCATCTGAACTTTAAACATTCTGGCTTACAAACATAATAACACCATTAGGGTTATGACCCTGAACAGATGGCAAACTGAAATATCCAAACGCATTGATGTAGTTACCTGCGTATTCTATTGAAGGGTCTCGGTCTGCCGGCCATTTCCTCGTCGTTGTGTTGTCCTTTCTCTTTCTTTGTAAGAGATCCAAATTATACAAAAATAAACTCGTTCTGAAATGGTAACAACTGAATAATTATATGAGAGTTTAAAAACAAGAAAATTCAGTCACTGAACAAGTACAAAGGGATTAAGAGAAATAAAAGAAGGTTGAATAATTTAAACATTTCCTTACCTACAATTAAGGGGCTTTCAGAAAGAGGATAGCTTTGTCTCAGTTATCAGAGAATATGTGATGGGGAGGAAGGGAGGGAGGCAATCCTAGAGATCGGAAGAAGTCCATACTTAGGTCAACACTGAAGGAAAATACAAATATGAATAAACATGATGTTATTATGTGCCTTTAGGTAGGAATTTATTATAAGTATGGCTAACCTTAGTATGATGAAAACGCGACCTGCAGTAAAATAAATATGAAAAAAAAAAAAAAAAAAACAGGGGAAACATGGTCTCCGTCGAAGAAAATTATGCCCCTTTTCCAGATGGAAGTTCGAAATGAAAGAGTAAATTACAAAGACACCGTACTATGGAGTCTCTGACAAAGACCCCTGTACTTTGTTAGCCTTTTATTTGAAATCCGCCGTTATAATATTTTTAATTCTCATATTACCCTTCTAATAACTATTTGGAGAAAAATAGTTATTATAGCAATTAAACGGATTTCTCGGTTTCTTTCATTGGTTCTTTCACCGACTCCGTGAATGTAATCATTGCGGTTCAACAGATTATTATAGCAATTAAACGGATTTCAAAGAATAAAACACCCTAGTTGAGCTAATCTGGTGCTTGTGATCATCATCATCCCTCATCGCATGACAGGAACCCGGACTTGTAAACCATTCCTCATAATGCCCATTCCACCCTGCATGCTACTACCAATCTCAATCTGGGCAGGATAGACCGAGAACTGCAGGCAGCTCTCATCGCTTGTGACATTAGAGCAGGATGTGGCAGAGCTACCTATAGTCCCAGTGTCCGACTGAAGAACTTCAGATTCCAATTGATTTCCACCCTGTTGTAGAGAAGTAGAGTCTGAGACATCATGGCCACCCATAGGGGCAATAGGCTTGGACTCTTCCTGGAATTGCTTTGTGTTGAGGCATCATGACTACTTCTCCCTTGAAGTAGTTCTTTTCTTGATAAAAAAACAGAGCAGAATACTACACCGAAAAAGTGAAACCGCGAGGAGGCCCCCGGTGGCTATGAGAATTATGTCTTTGGTGGTCAGTTTGCGGTGGCTTGGTTTCGTAGTCTGGTGATGGAGATGGCGAAGAGAGACAGGAATCCTTCCAGAAATGAAGTTGTGATCGAGGGTCAATAACTGAAGCTGATAGCTTTGTTCCACTCCAGGTATCCGGAATAAAACCAGAGAGATTATTGTACTGAAGAGCAAAGAAAGTGAGGGAAGGAGAGAGGGTAAGACTTACATGAATCAAACCTAACAAGGCGTTGATGCTGAGGAATTGAACCTGAAAGTTGGTTGTTGAAGAGATAAACACCTCTGGGAGGAACCCAAGAGAGGTTGGAATCATGCCTGTGATAACGTTGTCGTGCAGGCTAAGCTTTTTAAGAGCTTGAAGTTGGACAATCTTCTCGGTAATATAGGCAGTCATCTGTTGTTGGGCTATTTGTAGTTTCGCATGACCGCGGCATCATCAGCAATGGTTATAGAGACGAGATTGAAGACGGAGAAGAGAAGAAAGGGAAGATGAGAAATGGGTTTCCTTCATCCTTTCAGTGAGGGGAAGGGGAAGGGAAAAGAAAGGGAAACAATAGGTTAAATAGGTTTTAAGAGAAAAAGGGAAAAAAAAGAAAATAGAAAAAATTTAGTGGGATATTTTGATAATTTAATATATTCCGTCATCTATTTGCTTATGACCATAGTACAGAGGGTCTTTGTTACAAAACAAAATATAGGGGGTTTTTATAATTTGTTCAATTAAAAAAGCTAAAGAATTGTTACAAAGATCTCCCTGTCATCTATCTCATTTAAGACAAAAATCATCGAGAAGATAGGACTTCCACGGTAACCCCGTTGAACTCAGATTGTGTTTGGATTGAAGGAAAATGTAAGGATAGAAAAGGAAAGATGGTGTAGGTTTCCTTACCTTTCCATAATTAATCTCTTTAGGAGTACCTTTATATAAAAAAGGTTTGATGTAAATATTACCATTTTTTGGAAAGATTGTACTTTAATCCTCTGAACTTTGGGGTAATGTCAAATTAGTACCTGAACTTTTAAAATGTATCACTGCAATATTCAAATTTTTAAAAAGTATCAAATTGGTCCAAAATCATTAATGGACGTTACGTCTCATGTAAAAGGATAAAGATGCTTTCACCTATCATCTAATTTTCTTAATTTTTTTATGATTGGTATCCAATTTTTGGGCAAAAATAAAACCTGCGCTTTATTGTTGAGAACATCAATTGCAGAACAGAAACAACAGATTGATGGGACCCCTTTCACCTGGCTACAGTAAGCAACAGCTTGGGATTTTCGAAGCTAATTAGTATAGCCTTTTCAAGGTCATCCATGGCGGTTCAGCAATCTAAAGTGGAATTTTCCCTATATATAATACAAGCACTCGGTTTGTTTCTCCATTTATCTATCGGTTTTCTGGTACGGTGGCGGGCGTCAAACCAATCTCTCCTCTTCTTCGGCGATCAACACACCCACCGCTCCAATCCGCTTGAATACCATTGTCTTTCGAGACAGGAAAAAAGGGAAAGCAAAATCCTTCTATTTATCGCTCTCTTGATCGTTTTCGCCCATCCAATTGATCTAGCCGGCGTTAACTTGTAACTAACATTCAAGGAATGCGTTTCCGACGAAACTTTTGTCCTATTGATGTTCATCGGGTGATGATCAATTATCGTTAAGATGGTTTAATACTTTAAATGCTTTACTTGTATTAGATCGTTGAACTTTATGTTTATGTTCTTGTCAAATTACCACTGTTTTCAAAACCGGATTGGATCGGATGGTCGGACTGGAAAAATCAGGAACCGGTTCAGTTCCGTTTTTCTCTAAAACCGACTTTTCCCTCAAAACTGTTGATTTTGGTAAGTAAACTGCTGAACCGGCCGGTTACAGTTTTGACCGTTTTCTAATTTTTTTATTTTTTGTCAGAACAGACCGGCCGTTCAGGTTGAACGATCGGACCATTCGAACCGATAACCGGACCCTTGACCGGTTCAATTTTAAAAACCATGCAAATTACCTTTTTGCCATTTTTTTGTTATTTTCTAACTACTTTACTTGTATTTTATTTTGTTATTTTCTAAAGATTATTTCCCTTCTCCGTAACTCTCTACTGAGAGCTCATGGTTACTAAAACACCGAACCACTCCCTTCTTTGTTTATTCCCTTTGTCCTACCTCTCTTTGTTTCATATACAATTGTTTCCATTTGTATTCAAGGTAGAAGACATCAACCCAAGGTATCTATTTCACCCCTAATTTTGTCATCCGCCATCCTCTTAGGGAGATGAGAGAATAGAATGAATAACAATTTGAGAATATTATTAATTAAAAAACTAGAAAATGACAATGGTTTCACACCTCAACCGGTTCAGTCTCAAGGTAAAAGATAATGAACAGTGTTTTCTTTTGAAGGTTAGTTCTGACATTTTCAAAAAATTTAAGTTGCACATGTCATCACGTGATCAGGTAACTGGCGGTCGGTTAATGGCAGTGACCAACTTGATACTTTTTGAAAGTTTGGATACTACAATGACATGTTTGAAAGTTTGAGTACTAACTTGACATTGCCCCCAAAGTTCAGGGTACTAAAGTGGAATTTTTCCCTTCTTTTTTGGGAGGGGGGGTACATGTCCTAATCTATACTACCTATAAAAGAGTGAATTCCCCTTTTTTCTAGATTTTTCATTGGACGTTTTTTGCCCTTCTTGTCTAAGCACACAGCGGGCATAAAGAGGGCATATATGTCATTTATTCTCACTTCAGAAACTACCCACTCATAACTGTTCAGAAACTATCCACTTATATGTTATAACTGCTTAGAAACTACCCATGAATTATTAATAGTTTTGTCTTAGAGATATTGCTACGTGCAAATGCACGTACACATTTACTAGTAAAATCTATATAAATATATTAGGCTGAAATGTGTACGTAAGAAGGCCTGAGGATGAGGGAAATGGAATTTAACAGTATTTTTTGCCTTTTATTTCTCTTTCTCTCTCTCTCTCTCTCTCTCTCTCTTACAAATTACAAGAATGCCATATCTCTCTCTTCTTATAAATTACAAGAATGCCACTCTCTCTCCAATTGAGGGAGACCTCAGCTTGGCATCTCGACTGCTAGGGGACCTGCAATCAAAGGTAGTCGAGTTCGAGCCAAGCCAAGCTCGAACTTCTAAGCTCAAGCTCAAGTCTCTAATTTGAATTGAGCTCGAGCTAGAAAACACCTCGACCACTGAGAGAGACCTCAGCTCGGCACCTTGGTCACTGAGTGAGATCTCGGCTATGCACCTCGACAACTAAGGAAGACCTCAGCTCGACACCTTGTCAACTAAGGGAGACCTTAGCTCGATACCTCGCTTGCTAGGGAAACCTTAGCTCGACACTTCAACAGTTGAGGGACACCTCAATTTGACACCTCAACTGCTTGAGAGACCTGCAATCAAAGGTAGTTGAGCTCAAACTTCTAAGCTTTTGATTCGAGCCGAGCTCGAGCTCAAGCTCAAGTCTCTAATTCCAATCAAGCTAGAGCCTGATAGTTTATGAGCGAGTCCCTACAACGTAGGGCCCCCTCTGCTAGTAAAAAAATAAATAGAAATTGTCTAATACTTACCATGACTTTTTAGCATTTCTCTTAAACTCACCATAACTTTTCAAAACGTCCAAGGAACCCATGTCAGCAAGTTGACATTAAATAGGTTAACGGGTATTGGTAGATTACTATTTTACCCTTTGTTTTGTTATAATGGAAAACAAAGCAAAACTTTGATAAAAAAACAACAAAAATATATCCCAAATATTTTAGTCTAAAAAAATTATGCCCATTTTACATATTTAAGTAAAAAGGGAACTTCAAATAAAAAAAGGAACGCTTTTGATTCAAATCAAACTCATTTTACGCTCCATATCTACTTGCAAAGTACAATTGTCACTATACTCATTTAATTCCAAATGCAACAAAAACTGAGATTAAGAAAAGATCTATGATCAAGAAGAGGATACGTGGCTCCTTAGGACCCAATGTCCACTTCTATCAAATGTCGGTTAGAACAAAGGTGTATTGAATAGAAATTAGGCTGGCATAAAAATATGTTTAATAATGTTGACATGCCATTCAGGAAAAGTTTGGTCATAAAAATTGCATTTATATTGGTGTGGACAACTTGTATCAATTAACACGAATAATGCTCAACATATGGTGACTTTTGGAAAACAAAAAGTCACTGGCATGGGGTTCCTTGGATGTTTTATGGTGAGTTTAAGAGAAATGTTGAAAAGTTATAGTGAGTTTTAGACAATTTCCAAAAAAAATTAAATGGTAATGAAGACGTTGGAAGATTAAACATGTAATTGGTGTTTTGACACAGATTAGCCGATCCAAAATAAGAGCTACACTACAACTTCAAATGGCACATTACAAAGACTCTCATGATCTCATCATCATTGAAGCTTTCATGCCTGGTTGTTAATGATGGAAATTTCTACCCTACCCAATGGGTATTCGTCCCGTTTGTGGGAAATTTTTTGCTTGAAGGACAGGTTTTGAGATTTTACAATTTATACTAGTAAATGTAGGGTATGGTATTAGCAAAATCTAACCCTTCCCGACCTATGTATTGTTAGAAAGTGATGTAGTGCAGTCTAGTCGCTCCCTGCAGGAAGGCAGCTCAGATGTTGGACTGCTACATGGTCGGGTCGAATTGCAAGAAAAAGAGATCAGAGGTGATGCCTTTGCGAGATGGGCACTCCGATGCTTAAGTTAGCGTGGAAGATTTGTAAGAGAGTTGATAGCATAGAATAGCAAATTGCGAGATCTAAATTGTGCGTACCTTGTGAGACTGGAGGTGATGCCTTTATATAGGCAAGTTGTTGTAGGCCTCACAAAATGTGCCCGAGAGCATCGGCTCATCTAATCCGGAGTCTGTTCTGCACTCGAAAATGGACTCCGCATAAACTGATAAGGCTTATCCAGGTTCGTCCGATTCAGGCGGGATAGAAATATGACCTGTTGGCTCGCGTCATGGTCCCGAGGAGATCGAAGACAACTAGCTCGCTTCTAGAAGGAGGCTATGTGGCACTTCGGTAGGTCGCTAATTGTGGCAAGCTGCTCGGGCCCCGATCTTAGCTAAGTGACCCGAGGTGCCCATGGTGACTTGGACTCCTGAGGTGTATGAGGATGCTAAAGTGTCACCGAATGGATGGGTCGCTCCACGTGTCATCATGTCACTGGTCGGGTCAAATTATCCCTCATCAAAAAGCATATAAACTTTATGTATTAGGTGTTGAATTTAATAATATTTTGAATTTTATGTAAATGATAATTGATAGTTTATGTGTTTTTTACATGTCTTAATCAAATAATTGAAAATTTTGTTGTTTGTTTGTGTTATATATTTTACTTATTTATTACTTATATATAACAAGAAATGAAAGCAAATTAGATGTAGGTTCTAAATGAGTTCAAATCAGCCCCCCATAATGTCCCACAACACATTCCCGCCAGGTATTGTGAATATCTCCCAATGATAATACTAGAAATGATGATGTCATCATCTGAGAT